AGCTTGGCTCGAATTCGGGACTGCAGCAAGTGGATGGCGAGGAAAGGAATAAGTTTCCAATAATATCCTACTACGATACATCGGCCTAGTGTAGAACACCTTTGTTATGTGTAGCAGCTTGCATGTTACAAATCATTGCAATAGTAAGACGTTTGAACCCAATTTTACGTTTAAACCGATTCCGACTCAATCCTCATAGATATAACGATGGGCTAGCAGTCTGTCTGTCAGTTACCGTTGAATGAGTGTGCGATCCGCATACCATCTCCGTTCCTCCATTGCACTCGCATCTAGATTTAAGTCTCAGCTGAGAGTCGCTGTTCGGTTCCAAAAACTGAGAGCCTTGAATCTTTCGGAGTTCCTTTCGTGCGTTGAGCCTAGGCACTGGAGTAAGTGACCAGAGAGTCCCCGATGATGGCGCTTGATACACACATTGCTAACAAAGAGTTGATAAACACTGCAAATAATAAATGTGTCAAATTCGTGGGTCTACGATGAAGGACTGACATCTTGGCAGCATGAAATCGATCCCAATGAATATGAGTGTATTGGGCCAAACGAGAAACTGTGTCGGCCATGAGCTTGAGATTCTATTGCACATAGTGATTGGAATACCGTTATAAGAACGGCTGTAGAGCACATGCTGCGTACCACTGTGAGCCAGTCGCAAGGGTACCAAGATTGACGTTCACCTCGTAACCAGCCCAGATATCAGAATCAGCCGCATCAGCGCAACCAGCATCGCAATGGTGCTGAGTTTACATGATATCAATGCCATAACCTGAGAGAGGAACTGGCTAGATTACGGACTTAGGGAACATTGAAGCTGCCCTGCTTCTGTTCAGATAGTAACACATGGCGATGGCGATGATAAAATCAACTGCTGTACTCGTCGAGAACAACACGATGATTGGAGTCTACATCAGGTAAGATACGAGCCAAATGATGATTGATATGTGCTCACTCTGATGGTGGGGACTTCGGAGAAGCCGGAGATCTCGTAACTGTGGAAAGTGTCTTGGACTTCGAAATTAAGTAGTGTCAGACTTCAAGAACTTACGTCGCATGAACTAGATCTGATGAAAAGGAGAGTGTGAGGCACTCGTGGAGAGCAAGAGAAGTACGAACTTACATATTCCGGTTCCTAAAGAAGTGAATGGAAAATAATAGCTGCAGAAACAATGTAACCCTAAGGTATACGAGGTTCGCGTACCGGCATTGCACGCAGTAATGAGAACCTACAAGAGAAAGGTGCATGAACGAACAGTTGATAATCGGTGAGATGAGCATACAACGAGCCAGGGTACGATTTTATGAAAGTGTTGTCCGACTGGATATCGGTAAATGTTAGCAAAGAGTCAGGGCAAAGAAGCAATGAAAAACCTTTCCAAAGCCGCATTGCATATACACTACCAGGGACGAGCCTTGAAGTCAATGAAGCAATTAAGATTTTTGACGTAACGCACACTTGAACAGCTACTTTGAAAAAAGTCTGAGAAGTATAACAAGTTAGTTTCGTCTACTGGGCTCAATATGGTAGAATACGCACTCCAAGAAGAATATGCAACTGTCGACGAGAAGTTAACCACCAGTCTCAACGTTACAATCACAATACAAACTTTGCAGCTCCTTTCATGCCAGATAAAATCAGTTAAACAATGCAGCAAACATATAGCGTACCAAATGATTTCAAGCTGATCCATAGTGAGGAACCTGCCCACTATCCGAGTCTCAACGAGAAGGAAATACAGCGCGTGAGTGCTAATCACAACGTCTAGTGTATCTAGGATCCTGTCCTTTGTTATCAGGAAGACGTTTCAGGTCGATATGAACCCCGGGCGGCTAACCAAATGACCGCAACCTGTTCAATAAATTCCTTAGACTTCATTTGAAAGCACAAACATACAAAGCACGCACGGCGACTCGATAAAACCACCAGTCATTCGGATACTGTTTGAAGTACCAGAGCGATTGAAGATTAGACACCCCGAATAGACTATACACAGTGGTGCGTCAGTTGGCCGTCGACCGACGAAATTGAAACTCACATAGCAGAAAGAATGGCCCCGACGAGAATTCCCCCAAACGTGGCACCAAGAAGCGGGATTTGTACAGGTGCCAAAGCCATGCAGAAAGAGGGGAATAGAAAAAGAAAGAAAGAGATGACTGTTAAAAAGATGCAGTGCAGGCAGTTAACTATATCTGCCAATCATTACACGAAGGTCTTATACAGAACACATGCTGCAGAGCCATGAGGTACCGCAGATGTTTCTCATCATCACTCGCTGAGACTGGAGGGATAGGCCAGCAAGGTTTAGCCTCAATTGCGGGACCACGAAGAAGCAGATATCTCCCAGCAAGACCACATGGAAGCTGGTCACGGTACCAGGAAGAGTGAGTTGCGTGTTCCTGGTTACAATTGCAACAGAGAAAGAAATACCCACTGTCTTCATCTTATCGCAACGAAACATCATCGTCCTCCCTTCGCTGTTCAAAACTATTGGTTTAGTTTCAATACAGCAACGCACTAACAGGTGACAACGACACTTTACTTCTAGTTCGCGCTTTGCCCTTCAGTTGCTCTCGAGCGTCGATAAAAGTCATCCTTCAGAAAGGAACACTTGGCATTTCGTCCAGGCACGATTATATGCTGATAAATTAAACCAAGATGAAATGATGTACTAGGATGGGACTCAGCTACACATCTGATCGGTGAGAACATAGAATAGCGCACTGACCTCTAGCCTCCCCCCTCTTCTCGGTTTGAGATTCCGGCGCAGAAACAGCCGGTGCTTGTTTTACAGACAATTAATGTGGGCATGCAGAAGTCAGTTTCATCGTACCCACGGGCACGCCGTACTCTTGCTGTTATTCTCCATTCCAGAGTATATCATCCGTGTCCAACAGTTCGGTCTGCGGTTGATCCAAAATACCAGTCATCGAGGAGTACAGCGATTGGTTTCCTCTGCGTCATCCCTGTCAAGTTCTCTCTTTGAGCCAACATAACGGGGATGGATTAATACCATGAACAAACATTTACTGACACGGTACCAGGCTTGTCGAAGGTCGTTTATTCCCAAGATAGAAACTGCCAGCAAGCTTTTACGGGAGAACAGGAATCCCGGAATGAACGTGGAAGAGAACGACCAAGGGCCATCAAACTCGGAGCCGTTCGTCCTTCTCTTTGCAAAGTATCAAAGACAAAGACAAAATAGGTGTGCGGTCCCAAGAACATCGGGTAAAAGCTATGTCTGGCAGGTCCATGAATCAGAGTCGGAGACAAGCAAGAGAACAAGGAGAATCATGGAATGGGCATCAGGTAGTCTACTTTCCCTCCCCGTTGATGTGTATTCCATCCAGGTGGATCATCAAGGAGAAAAGATCATTCGTATTGCGATGCAATTGTATGCTGATAATAGAAGTCAATTAATGGAAGACGGTTTTAAATTAGTACGTAGATGCCAATTCTGTGGGCTGAGTGTTAGAAACGCACCATCCAGCAGTTATAGTTGCCTACATACTACAGTCTAATGTTTGATGGTGCTTTGTAGCTCAGGATATAGGATAAGGCGTTGAGAGAGGAGCACGTTGGATCTGTACGGACTTTGCGCAATGTCACATATTGATCTAGACAAAGATGGGGTTTTAAAAAGCTGCAGTGAGAGTGACCATAGATGATCGTTCCAGAGAAAAGAACACACACCGTCCCTTCCACAAACATGTGGTACTCTTCTTCAGTACATGTCCGCCTGGCAATTCTATGAATAGCTGGTCCATGATGCATGATGACCGGTGTCTTCATTGTCGTCCTTGCCGAGCATCAGCCGTCAAAATTTCCTGAACCAATCCTCCCTCCTCATCGGAAGTGAGTCAGTCCAAAGATAACCATTGAGCTAGTAGCAAGGGAAGGCGAGGGAACCACCCGTTATCTGGGGCCAGAAACAAATGGGCAGAACTGCGAGAAGGGCCGCCATTCCAAAAGCCCCCCACTCAACTTGGCAAATTGCTTCCTCTTCCGATGAGATTCGGGTCATTAGGATTGGACCGTATCTGGAGTTGTTGAAAAAGGCGATTCATAGGCGGACGCTATACATACTGTGAGTCTCTTCTTAGAACTATGTCGGATGCGCTTACCTTTAAAGATCGCACCACGAAGCCCGGGTGTACGCGCAAAGAGCGCGTGCCGCCAAAGTCTGGTCTTTTCTACAGTGCACGTTGCATGATGAAAACCGTCTAGAGCTAGGGCGCGCATAGCCTGGGTTTCTGGCGGCATTCGATCTGTCTGGACAGTCACGCCTCCCCAAGGATGGCAATTCGACAGCTCAGGGATGGACCCCCAGACGACGCGCGACAAGGGTATACGAAGAAGAGGTCGCGGTCATAGTCGTGGTGCTATTCATACGTTTCCTCCCTTCAGCATATAAAGACAACGAACACGAAACCAGAGGGAAGATAAGTCCGCAAGAGGGAGTGGAAGACAGAGAGGAGGCGCTATCATTCCATAGTATCAGTAATTGGGCCTACTAGTTATCAACCCATGGGCGTACCTAGTACATATTCAACGTCCGAGTCCTCTTTTTACAACCTGAAAACCACACCGACTATTCTTCCGTTTCTGCTCCTCCCATAAAAGCTCTGGGGTATGGAGGACTACCGCATCTTCATCAATCCCTTGAGGAAGTAAATATCGAGTTGGGAGAGCGATGAAAGGAACGTGTTGAAGTTTAAGTGTAAGTATTTTAATATCTGTAGATTTTAGGTTTTATTGAAAAAAAGTAAACAATCTCTGATAGTGTATCGGTTAGTACACGCGCCTGTCACCCAGTCGATGTTAGATGGTCGCGCGAAAGCTGGGTTCGACTCCCAGTCAGAGAGATGCCTCGCGTTGGAATTGTTAAATATTCCTTTTTAACATTATCTTGACTCTGGCGGAGCCTCGGAGGTTAGGCCCCAGTCAAAAGTCTATAGACGTGGGTGGACAGCCATTGATATCCAATGATTTACCCATGGACGTCAACAGACGTCCAAAAATGGGCCTTTTCGTAGCCTTTGCATTGATGTGTATTGTTGTTCATGGACCCGTACTGATGCTCATCTGTGTACCTCTCCAGACATCCACATACGTATATATACATTTCATGCACTACGATACATGTGATACATCATGCATACAACACTTCCTGCCCGACCACCTGTCCCCACATTGCCGCTGCAGTGTTCCATCCACCACTCGTGTGCGCGATTCGTCGACACTCAACAGAACATAGATCGAAGGCCTCGAACTGAGGAGTCGTTCTGATAATGAAGATAGTCAATATGAGAAAAAGAGGCTGAACAGAGGCATACCATGCTTAGAATGCGAGTAGGAAAGGGTTTCTGCAGCTCGTGATGAGCGCAACTGTGTGCGTCCTCAAAAATGAAAGAAAGAGATCAGTATCATGATATGGGACACTGAAGCGGCCGATATCGTACCTGGAGCATTGAAGCTAAGGCAGGGAGCCGCCGGGCGCAAGGAGCGGGTACCAAAGTCGTGTTTGAGTCGTGTAGCGACGGCGGCAAGTCCAAGGAAGGGACATTTGGAATGGAACACGTCTGTACTGCAAAAAATGCGAAAATGTGGCAGCTTATACATGAATTGAACGACAGCGACTCACCTAGGACGCACCAGCAGTGTTTCATGTGCTACTTGCTTCATATCCCTCCATATATGCGCCCAAACTGAAAAAGTGGCGACCTAAACTACAATTCAGTACGTAGATAATCGTTCTAGGATGGATGGTAAGATGGACAATACCGACAGAAACAGAATGGGCATTGGGCGACATACCATTCGATCCATTCCCAGTGATGAAGGCAGCGCGCTTTTGCTGGTCTATGATAGCAGAAACCGCACATATGCTCAAGTACCGCTTGACATGGAAGGTGAAACGAGGGCACAGAGACAGTAAGAGGCAATACGACGCCTACAACGGCAGCGACAGTGATGGTAAGAGGGAAGATAGGAGGCGTGGGAATCCTGACTTCGACTTGGGAAACTTCGCTCCCGGCTACCAACAGCAACACCATGCAGACTGCTGTGACATAGCTGTAGTGAACTTGCATAACCAAATATCCAGGAACATCGCAAACAGACCAGAGTTACGATTACTGCGAGTGGGTTCACGTATGTACGCTTCTTTCTCGTTCTATTTATGGTACATTGTCGATGAACATCGACGGACATATATAGGTAGATAAAAAGTCGACACACGTCTCTACCCATCGCCTGACGTCTCCAGACTTTTGACTGGGGTTAGGCCCTAGGGTCCTGGGTCGCACAAAACCTCCAGGGGATAAGTTACAGCTTTTTACCGATCCTTAAGTTTTCTCTCAGTGTATGTTTCGATCCGGTCTGATGGGGGAAAAGTTGCCAGTAACTAACCGGTTCATGCGCAACCCTAACTAGTCAGACCATCATCATCCTGCGTTTAAATTTTGATTTCTAGCATTATCTTTACTTGGGCGCAGGTCGGTAGGGTTCAAGCACAGTGTGGTCACCTTTTTTAAGCAGCCTGAGTCTTGACTAGAACCAGTTCGATAGCAAATGCCTCTCTTTATATCTCTTAGTCATGAGGCTGCCAGACACGTCCGACTCCAAACTTGGCTCCCTCTCCTTATCCCTGCGCTAGTTGGTATACGTCGTGTAGGATATGAATGAAGATGAAGAAAAGCGTGCCATTTTTTCCCCGAGTTCTCCGGAAATGAGCATCAAGACCAGCTGGTACATTTTATCATACTTGTCACTCAATACCAAGGCAAATGGTCATGACGAGAAAGCCCACCGAGCGCTATCCCATGTTATTATCATATTCCCAGGTTTCCAACATCACCCTGCACTCTGATGAAGCACTCGTTAATGCGTGCGCGTATGCTGGGTTCGATTCCCAGCCAGAGAATAGAGAATGTGGACCCAGGTTTTTCTCCTTGCGCATGCCAGTGCTGATGAGTCCGACAATCGTTTCTCGCCCGCTTGTAAAGTGGAGAAATGGCATTGTGTAGGTTAGAAGGCTTCACTGAGTGAGTATCGAGCCTCTGCGCCGGAACCTTCGGCCAAGAGGTAGGCACAGGTAACATTGGCTTGAGTCCCACACTGCTTGAAGAGGCGTGCATTAAGCATTTCCTCAGTGTTGGATTTCGTTCCTCAAAACAAAAAACAAAAAAATGCAGGCTTCACTGATAGGTAATTCGCAGGGTAGGCGTAAACTATCATGATTCCCTACCCCTCTTTGGTAAGCATCTTCCCGCGCAGCATCATATAATGAGAACGCAATGGTGCGCGAGAGCCCACCCCTGATAGCAAAGAAAGGTTAGCGAGTCACCAAAGAGATCCAGAGACGAAGCGTACGGACCCAAGTATGTCTCCATTCCATTTTGTTCCTCAACGCGAACTTCCATTCCCAACCCTCTACGTGCACACTATTCGACGGCATTGAACCAGGGACTCAGAGGGAAAGTCACACTTTGGGCCTTGGTAGTAGCTAGCGGTCGCTCATTAGTCTCTTCTCCGGACTGCTAAGTCAGATGCACGTACCCAGACGGAGCGCCCTACGTCATGATCTCGACATTCTGTTCAGTGTTCACCTAGCAGGGCGAGGTTGATCTGGACAGTCACACGTCTTCCAGAGGGCTACAGACTGGTACAGAGATCGTACGGCGCGATCCTGATAAACGGCAGCTCAGGCTCGCTAGAAACGCAGAGATGGGAATGACTGGCTCCTCTCCAACGTCCTGGAAATCACGCTATGGACAAGGTCGGTAGCAGCACTTGAACACGTACCATTGAGAGCGAGTGGCGGTCATCGACATTCGGAGAAGCGGGTTATGATTGCATATGCTATGTTCGTCCAACCGTGAACTGGATTCAAGTCGTCCAGCTGCCACGCCGGGTCCCACCATCAAAGCATACACAACACTCTGGCGCATTTTACAGACTATTCTTTGTGAGTCCTGGTCATCTCCCATCTAGCGAGCGAGAGACTGGCAGCTGTAAATAGCAACATCGCCCCCAGCAAAACCAACTTGGCACCAAGAGACGGTCCCATTCGGTTCAAAATGCGAATACGCGACGTCTATGGGGAACGCGGGTTATTGAAGGCGAGACTATCTTCGGAGGGTTGTGTGAACAGCACAGAGAAATCCCAAAAATGTGTTGGTCTCAAGACTCAACAGGTGGTTGAACGACGGTCACGCGAGTGAAAAAGACGCAACTGCCATTTTGGGAACTCACCTTCCTCAACATGATTGATGTCATTGTGCATCATTCTCCCTCGCTTTCTCCCAACCCTACCATGCTGAAACCACCACTCATGCGGACTGGCTACTACCTAGATCATCCATAGCAGCTGTTTTCACCGGGGACCGCATCGTCCAGCAGGGCCCGATAGCAGAACAACGTTTGTATGTCTTTACCTCGACAGTGTGAAGAGAACACTAATGTGGGCGCTAGCCCGACTGGTTTTAGTACAATTCTAAGGATTTCTGGCACTGACTATGTACCTCACCGATGTAGATGAACGAGCAAGGCCGTCGAGCTCAAATCGAGACTCTGATAATAATGGGATTGCACTTTGGAGATAGGGATGCTTGTTTCGGTCTGGTAGCTCCTTGTGCACTAGTCTTGTCGAGGTCAGTCCCCTTCATATCTCTGGTGAGCTTATTCTGACTTTTATCTGGTATCAGCATGCTGAAGAGAGTTATGATGGCCCCAACGCTGCACCTTCAAGTTCGAGGAAGCAACGTACATCAATCCCTGTTTGTTCTCGGTACGGTACCGCAGCTGAATGAAACAACCTGATTTAGACGATTAACCTTCTTCGTCCGTGCCTCTTTCTCTCCTGGTCACGCTATCAGCTCAAGCTCGAGATCCATAGATTCAGAGACAACTGAGTCAGGGAATGAGCGCTAGCAGACATCACCAACACAGCAAAGTCCTATATGTCTGGATTCACATCGGCATTCGGTACTGATGCGAGAGAGGGGTTCGACCCCCTATCAGAAAATTATACGTACGTGTGTGGGAAATTTTGCTTGTCTCTCAACACGCGCGGGGGGTAATAGGTCGATGTCGGTTCTAGCCCCAGTAGGGGGAAGGCTGAGCATTCCCTGTCCAGTGTCCAAGGTACTCAGCCCAAACGGAAGCACGGCCATCACGATTTGCAATAACATGGTTCGATGGCTTGACATCCCAATTCTATTTCGACCCCCCGGGGCCAGATATGTCTTTCTCCTGGCTATGGAGCGGCCAGACCTTTCTGCGGTTGACATAGAATCGCCAAATGGTCAGAGTTCCATGGGATTTCTCCCACGAGTGGCGAGATATTTGCTACTTATGACAACCGCCTCGGGATCTGAGACCTCAGAAAGGCGCTGACCGCTAACTTAGACTGTGATTACTGCCTTTTATGTCTGAGCAGCAGTTATGTGCAGTAATAAAAGGCCCGATTGCCTTCCCTCGTCTCCGTATCCAAACTTCCCTCAGCCCAATCTACTTCAAGATGTTATCCTCCACTTCGCATTGGCCACTGCTACCGCTCTTTCACACCCCACGAGCCTTGTGGCCACAGCGCATGGCAAGCTTGCCAGTGGACCCGGCTGTTCCTTATTGGGACCTTGTGCCGATGCCAAAACCAGCACCACAAAACGACAGTCCGGTGGTGGTGTGATCTGTTCCGAAAACCGCTGCTCTCACTTAGGTATGTATATAAACGAGTCTTCGCACCATACATTGACGCTGCGTAGGACGACATCTATTTGTACGCCGTTCACACCTGACTTATTCGACGCATCACTCACGGCTTCGGGTCTCCAGGCAGAACATCGTCAATGCAAGCGGCAAAAGGCGCCAAGGGGGACGTTCCTCGTTAGTCTGTACCATCTCATACCGGATCTAACTCACGCCCGAACTGTCCAGATTGGACCAACTGTAAATGTTGTGAGGGTAGTGGATGTATATACGGAGACGCGGAGGTAGCAGCGATCTGGAGGGGTCATCAGGTCGCTTCGTGAGTATCTACTCCCCAGTGAATGGCGAATTTGGTTGACTTTGTATACAGGTATACACGATCGCATAAAGATCTGGTTATGCTGCCCTCTGACCAAGGTATGTTAGCTTAGCTCGATAGCATGAGATTTCTGATTTTGGGATGTCGATAGTGTTCACATAGTACGTTCCTCGCCAATCGATAATGGATTTGCCAACTCAGACTTTGCAGCGACCCTGGAGAAAATCCTCGGAGTCAAAATCGCGTTTATGCGACCTCCACTCAGCAGTTCCAACGATAACGTCTTGCAAGTAATCAGAGTGTGATTTCTCCTTTTTTCTCCCTCTCAGTTTCTCGTATCATTCTGGAGACTCTGCGATCCACCGTGGCTAAGCGGCCTAACACGATCTTGACTCTGAACCATGAGACTGTTGGTGAGTAGTTGCCAGCCTAACTTCTTACTTTACATCTAACTGTGATTCACCTAGAAACTACTAGCACCGCCATTCTCCCGCATGCTTTCGAGGTCCTACAAGGCGCAGGCTACAACCTCGTGATTGTTGCTGAGTATCTTGGCTTGCCGCGTTGGAACGCTTGGTGCTACGAAAGATGTGCGTGTTTGGTTCAGTTTTTTTTTTTTTGAGGGTTGGGTGCTAATTGCTGGGGCGGTTGTAGGCTTCGTGGACGTGTTAATCCGCCATTGTGTGGTGTAGACGAACTATCTCACTACACGGATTTGGACATCCGTATTTTTTATTTTAGCACCCACTACTTTGTAAATACCATCACGATTTCAATAGCGAGTTGTCTTCTCCAAGTACCATCATGCATTGGGAAGATCGCAAGCCGTTATCGCGTTTCATTGCATATTCCGCCTCAAACCCACCTTCAAGCCAAGGAGAAGATAGCAGAAATTGCCTTGCCTCTATCATCTCTCCATACCTCTCCAGTCATTCCAAATCGTGATGCGGCTCTACGCCAATCGTTAACCAGGGGAATGTATATCGAGCCAGGCAGCGTGTTTGGACAGGGAATAATACTGCGTGCTGACTTACAGATGAGTACCGTCCGTCAATCCCATTC